ATGGTAGCTTATTTAGCACTTGCAAGCACTAAAATGAATGGAATATTATGAAATATTTCATAAGAACAAATGAGGGGACCATCGCTCACTGGTAAACAATGGCACACTGGCTGGGAAGGGAGGCCCAGGCGGCTCAGAGCCGTGAGTACGCGTCCAGGACGAACAATGATTAGCGAGTCAACCGACCATTTGCGAGCCAATGTTTGGTCGAAAATAACGCAACGATTTCCGGAAAGGACGATCATCGAGCCCGATGATTATCGAGGGAACACTGTAGTTGTGGATAACAGAATGTGATTCAGCCAGGTACACAATATCATGTGCATTTGTGACAATATGATTAACCCTTTGACTGTCACAAGCCCCTTTCTGAAACTGTCATTCTGTCGCAAAATTTTTGGAAAAAACAAAAATAATTTTTTCTTATGAAATGATAGAGAATCTTTTCCCGATGGTAATGACACCAAAAGTACGAAATTTGGTCGAAAACACATGGAATTACGCTCCCGCGAAGTTAGCGGTCTCGGCAACATATAGGCATTGGCGATTTCACCAGCTTTGAGCCCTGTTTTTGGCCAATTCTGTTGTTCCAGTTAATCAAACTCATAGCTATTTCTTTAGAACAACATTTTTTCTATCAACTGAGTACAAGAAACCGCCCATTTACCGATCTGAACTACCCAATAAAGTGGTCAGAAATTGGCAATTTGGCCAATTTCACACAAATTAAAAAAATGCCAATTTCAAAATAGGGTCCAGAATAAACAATGTAGACATTCTTGGCACTAAAATAACGCATTCTCTGTTCATTAGTCACGTCTCTAGGCCCCTCTTATATTACTATTACTTTCTATTTTGATTTTTTATTCATACAAAAAATACAAAATTTACTGTTATGCAGACTACTGCATTATTGTAAAAATGGTATAAATAATATCAGTGCACTAGTGAAAGAATGTCAGACTCCCCAGTTGATGTGTATTGGACGTGTGGTGTGATTTGCTTACTTTTGAACATTGGCAAAAATCGAACATTTCCGCTACTTTGAACTCAATTTCAAGGTCGTTTTCATCATGAAACTAATCAAAACCATCTCTATTTCTGCAATATGTTTTCCATTTTATCACGTGAGACCATGGAAATGAGAATACAACAATAAATACCATACGAAAATACAGTGGACCCCCGGTTCACGATATTAATCCGCTCCTGAGAGCTCATCGTAAACCAAAATTATCGGAAAGCGAATCAATTTTCCCCCTAAGAAATAATGGAAATCAAATTAATCCGTGCAAGACACCCAAAAGTATGAAAAAAAAAAAACTTTTACCACATGATATATTAAGTTTAATGCAATATAATAATTACAATAACAATAATAACAATAGAATAATCACAATAGAATAATTGACACTTACCTTTAATGAAGATCTGGTGATGATTGATGGGATGGGAGGAGGGGAGAGTGTCGAAGTTTTTAATGTTTAGAAGGGGAATCCCCCTCCATTAGAACTTGAGGTAGCAAGTCCTTTTCCGGGGTTTTCCCTTCTTCTTTTAATGCCACTAGGACCAGCTTGAGAGTCACTGGACTTGTCGCACAACATATCTGTCCATAGAGGCCTGTACCTCTCGTTCCTTTATGACTTTCTTAACCCTTAAACAGTCCAAACGTATATATACGTTCACTCGCGTAGCGCCCCAAATTTTTTGAGGAAAAAAGAAATCTTTTCTTTTAAAAGGAAAAAAGAGCATATGGTACCCAGGCATCCCCAATTATTTTAATATGGAACACAGTGAGTGCACACACCCACTCTCTCATGTCTAGGTGACTCAGGCTTATTGTGGCAATGTTGAATGAATGACAAAGAAAACGTATATATACATTTGGGGCGCTACGCGCGTGAACGTATATATACGTTTGGACCGTTTAAGGGTTAAAGTGGTTCACAACATTGTCAGTGTACAGGTTGCCAAAACGGCTTGCAGTAGCTGTGTCAGGGTGATTTTCATCAAAAAAGGTTTGCACTTCAAGCCACTTTGCACACATTTCCTTAATTTCAATAGTCATCAGCACCCTTGGTCTCGATGGGTTGGCACTAGAAGCTTTCTTGGGGCCCATGGTGACTTATTTTGCAGAAAAAAAGCACCAAAAACAGCGATAATATGGATAATATAGAATGTACCAAATGTATCCTTAGATGCACGCACACTGGCTAGCTTGTAAACACTGGACACGTCTCTTACGAGTCGTATCGCATACCGGGTTTTGTAACGGGAACTGAGGCAAATTTTTTGCGATATAATGCTTTGAATACCGGATTTATCGGATACCGATGTCTTCGCGAACCGGGGGTCCACTGTACACCTCAAAGTTGGCGCTTTAATCCCCCCCCAAAAAAACGGTGTTTTTTTTTCTCATTATGCACTGCGTGCTGCAGGATTTTTTTTATGTGGTGCACACTGACCACACAGACCCATTCTCTCACATGTGGGCTTACTAGCTTTCTCCTGCTTGATTTGAAGCCGCTAGAATTATTGAGAATATACACCTACCATCCGACTTACGACCGAGTATGGTTCCGAGAAACTGGTCGTAATTCGAAATGGTCCTAAGTCGAACTTTACTACTGAATATCAACAAAACATTTTTGTAATGACTTTATTTTATTGTTTTATTTTGGTATTTCATGTTTTACTTTACTTTTTATGTTGTTAGTACTGTATTTTATACTGTAAGGTTTAGGATAAACACTGTGTACAACACAAATAGTTGTTTATTTCCCAGAAATTTGGCATAAAAACACGGTCGTAAGTTGAGTGGTCGTAAGTCGAGCAGGTCGTAAGTTGGATGGTAGGTGTATATGTCTGAAACACTGGCTCGTAAGACGTATATATACGACCAAAACAGTCAAAGGGTTAATAATGTCGAACATAATATTTGTGTCTAAACAACAATTGGCTATCAAATCAAAGTATCTACTAAACATTATTATCACACCATAAAAACTGAGAAAATAAAAAAACAAAAATAATAATGTACAGCCTGTCCTCACTTAACCCTTTTAGGGTCCAGAGGCCAAATTTCTAAGTGTGCACCAGGGTCCAAGAATTTTCAAAAAAATATTATGTTAGTTTTTTATGAAATGGTAGAGAATCTTTTTCTGGAGGTAATACAACAAAAAGTACAAAATTTGATGGAAAATTGACGAAATTATGTGGATAGTGAGGCTCAGGTTAGGGTGTGTAGAAGAGAGGGAGACTACTTCCCAGTAAAAGTAGGTCTTAGATATTGATGTGTAATGTCACCATGGTTGTTTAACCCTTTGACTGTCGTGGCCGTATATATACGTCTTACGAGGTACCGTGTTTGACGTATATATACTCATAAATTCTAGCGGCTTCAAATCAAGCAGGAGAAAGCTGGTAGGCCCACATGTGAGAGAATGGGTCTGTGTGGTCAGTGTGCACCATATAAAAAAAATCCTGGAGCACGCAGTGCATAATGAGAAAAAAAAAAACTCCGACCATTTTTTTTAATTAAAATGCCGACTTTGTGGCCTATTTTCGTATAGTATTTATGGTTGTATTCTCGTTTTCTTGGTCTCATTTGATAGAATGGAAAACATGTTATAGAAATAGAGGTGATTTTGATTGATTTTACTATAAAAAGAACCTAGAAATGGAGCTCAAATTAGGGGAAATGTTTGATTTTTGCCAATGTTCAAAAGTAAACAAATGATGCCATTGTCCAATAAATGTCCAACTAGCTATTCTAATATGCAGTCATGAATGGGTTGATGTTATTTATACAATTATTACAGTATTGCAGTAGTCTGCATAATAGTACGTCTTCTATTTTTTGTTTGAATAAAAATTCAAAATAGAAAGCAAGAGTAATATCAGAGGGGCCTGGAGACATGACTGATGAGCAAAGAAAATGTTATTTTAGAGCCAGGAATGTCTGCACTGTTCATTCTGGACCTTATTTTGAAATTGTCATATTTTTTAGTTTTTGTGAAATTGGCCAAATTGCAAATTTCTGACCACATTATTAGGCAGTTGAAATCGGTAAATGGGCAGTTTCTTGTACTCAATCGATAGAAAAAATGGAGTTCTAAAGAAATAGCTATGAGTTTGGGCGACTGGAACAATGGAATTAGCCGAAAATAGGGCTCAAAGTGGGCGAAATCGCCGATTTGTAAACAGCGCCGAGGTTGCTAACTTCGCGAGAGCATAATTCCGTCAGTTTTCCATTAAATTTCGTTTTTTTGGTGTCATTACAATCGGGAAAAGATTCTCTATCATTTCATAAGAAAAAATATTTTTTTTTTTTTAAATTTTGCGACACCAGGAGACACCTCAGGATTGGGGGTTGCGACAGTCAAAGGGTTAATATATTTATAGATGGGATTGTAAAAGAAGTAAATGCTAGGGTGTTTGGGAGAGGGGTGGGATTAAATTATGGGGAATTAAATACAAAATGGGAAGTGACACAGTTACTTTTTGCTGATGATACTGTGATTATGCTACCACGTTAAATGGCGGTCTACTGTACATACATACATACACATCTAGTAAGTACAGGTCGGCCATCACTAATCCGGCATCACTGGGACCTGTAACGTGCCTGATTAGTGAGTTTGCCGGATTACAGTGTTGTTAGGTTAGAATACACTTAATGAACCTATCAATAGAGACTTTCTGCTACATCTTCCTCATTTTCATCACTGCTTTCTCCTCCACTGGCTTGCTGCTGGGGATTTACAACCATCTGCACAGTTTCTGAGTCAGTATAATGATTTGAGTCAGCATAATGATGAAATCTGATATTATGCTAGCCAAAATTAGAGACGGATTACTGATGGAGCCTGATAACTGATTGCTGGATTAGTGATGGCCGACCTGTAGGTAGTACTGATTTACATACTTAATTGGCAGTTTTTGCATTTCTTGATAACACCTTAATCTTATCCAGCAAAAATGAGTTGTATGACACTCACCAGCATATCTATCTGCTCGAGGGGGAGGAGCCAGCACGGGTGAAGTGACTGATGTAATAGATGATACAGGGGATGATACACCTAAAAATAAGACATATTACAGGGCAGGCCATTTATATTACACATTTTATTTATTTATTTATAAGAAATAACTGCATATTTGAATAAGTATTTCCCTTAACACAGGTGTAGGCACAAGGATTTCAATGATTGAGCATCACAGCATATCAACATGAATTAACCCTTTCACTGTTTCGGCTGTATATATATATGTCTTAGGAGCCAATGTGTCCAACATATTAATACATGTAAATTATAGCGGCTTCAAATCAAGCGGGAGAAAGCTGGTAGGCCCACATGTGAGAGAATGGGTCTGTGTGGTCAGTGTGTGCAGTTTAAAAAAAATCAGGGAGCCAGTGGTGCATTGTGGGAATGCAATTTTAGTAGTCCTTGTTCAGCATGCCAAGCAGTAAGAAATATCTGATTCCGGTGAATCTGGGACTTATCTCTTCTCAAGTGATAGCTCTAACACAGATGGATGTCTCTGAAGCTAAATTTCATGGCTTTGAGGAGTTTGTGACGGAAAGCAATGCACAGGATACCAAAAGGAAGAAAGAAAAAAAAGAAAAAGACAGGGAAAGAAAGTAATTAGGTAAGTAGTAGTTAGTAAGTAGGTAAGTATACCTACTTTCATAGAACTGCTATTAGCTTCTGGAAATTTGGTGTGGTGTGGTGTGCATGTACTCCACATCCCTTCCCCCACACACAGAGCTTCCAGAAGCTAATAGCAGTTCTATGAAAGAAAGTAGGTAGGTAGGTGAGTAGGTAAGTAAGTAGGCAGGTAAGTGGGTAAGTAAGTAGGTAGGTAAGTGGGTAAGTAAGTAGGTAGGAAGGAGGAAGAAGGCACCGGACCCCATGGGTGTTGACAGGCAGTGAGGGTGGTGAATGATGGTAAAATATGTCATTTTGACAGCTGCTGTCAAAATGACATATTATACCATCATTCACCACCCTCACTGCCTGTCAACAACCATGGGGCCCAGTGCCTTCTTCCTCCTTCCTACCTACTTACCGCCTTACTTACCTACCTATTTACCTACCTACTTACCTACTTACTTTTTTCTTTCATAGAAATGCTTCCAGAAGCTAACAGCAATTCTATGAAAGTGTCCAGTGACTATATATGTGTATATATATTATAGGACAATAGTAATAAAATTTTTTTTGTATTGTTGATTTATGTAAATAAGTTTTGTAAACAATGCATGTAATGATAATAATGTTTGTGCGGTTACTGTGTTACATACAACAGTGTATTTATGTACACTACACCTTACTTTGGTCTCACAGACCATGTAAGTTACTTGGAAAAAAAAAATACAGTGGACCCCCGCATAACGATTACCTCCGAATGCGACCAGTTATGTAAGTGTATTTATGTAAGTGCGTTTGTATGTGTATGTTTGGGGGTCTGAAATGGACTAATTTACTTCACAATATTCCTTATGGGAATAAATTCGGTCAGTACTGGCACCTGAACATACTTATGGAGTGAAAAAATATCGTTAACCGGGGGTCCACTGTATTGGAATATACAAGAAACCTTCTAATGGGAGTAAATATAAGTGTACCGGGTGAGCGGCATCCACAGCTGCTGCCATACTCGGCTCATTTTCTGCCAATTTTACGCCTCTATATCTCGCTGAGTACTGACTGCAAACAATTTTTTAGGCTTAAAACACTCAGCAAATTAATTCTAACATTTTGGTAAGAATTTTTTTTTTTTTGAATATTTTGCGACATAGGAAGAGAGTTTTAGAATAGGGCTTGCGACAGTGAAAGGGTTAAAATTGGGTAACTAACTGAAATTTGGCTCTGTTATTGCAACTCAAAATATAATTCAAAAGGGAAGCTCAAAGTACAGATGTTTTGTATCCTAACACTATTGTGTCCATGGTCAAAAATTTCTTGATGGAATTGTGAATGTCCATTCAAGTATGCTAGTCATTCAACAGCAATTTCTGCAACTAAAAGAAGTCATATGGGATTGATCAGTTGCCTTTTGAGCAGAAAGCAGTGTTAACAGAGGCAATATCAGGTGTATTTACTCCACAAGATCTTCACTACTAGCTATGTAAAATGTTCGAATACAGTGGAACCTCTACTTGCGAGCGCGTCCACATGTGAGTTTTTCCAAATATGAGCAGTCGATGGGTCGATTTTCTGCTTCCATACGCGAGCGAAATTTCCATAAGCGAGCAGACCTCAAGGAGTATTTTGTCCTGTCTCCAGACAAACACTCATCGGCTGCCGCCACATATATATAATGACATACTGTATTTTATTCATTCTAGAGTATATATCAGGTTTCTATGTTACAGTGGACCCCCGGTTCGCGATGCCATTGGTATCCGATAAATCCCGTATTCGATGCATTGTATCGCAAAATTTTTGCCTTGGTTCCCGTTACAAAACCCGGTATACGCGATTCGTCCGAGACATGTCCACATGTGGCCTGAACTGCCCCGTGTGTGCCAGTGTTTACAAGCCAGCCAGTGTGCGCGCATCTAAGGATACATTCGGTACATTCCATATTATCAATGTTTTTGGTGCTTGTTTCTGCAAAGTAAGTCACCATGGGCCCCCAAGAAAGCTTCTAGTGCCAACCCTTCGAGACCAAGGGTGCTAATGACTATTGAAATGAAGAAAGAGATAATTGCAAAGTACGAAAGTGGAGTGCGTGTGTCGGAGCTGGCCAACTTGTATACAAAACCCCAATCAACCATCTCTACTATAGTGACCAGGAAAACGTCAATCAAGGAAGCTGTTGTTGCAAAAGGTGCAACTGTGATTACGAAACAGCGACCGCAAGTGTTAGAAAATGTTGAGAGACTGTTATTGGTGTGGATAAATGAAAAACAGATAGCAGGAGATAGCATCTCTCAAGCGATCATTTGTGAAAAGGCTATGCAGTTACACAGTAGGGGAGTAGTAGACAGTGAGTTGGAGGTACTTGGTAGATGGCAGGAATATTTTGAGCAACTTTTAAGGGGTTAAAACAGCTGGAACTGACAGGATCATAACAGAAATGTTAAAAGCCGGGGATGATACAATGTTGGAGTGGTTGGTATTTTTGTTTAACCCTCTCAGGGTTGGTGCCATACAAGTATGGATAGCACGCCAGGCTTATTGACGTACTAGTACGCATAAATTCTAGCGCCTTCAAACCAAGCAGGAAACAACTGGTAGGCCTAGATGTGAGAGAATGGGTCTGTGTGGTGAGCGTGCGCGGTAGGAAAAAATTCTGGGACCCAGTGGTGCATTGTGGGAATGCCATTTTAGTACACCTTGCTGATGGTACTGTGGTTATGGGAGATTCTAAAGAAAAGTTGCAAAGGTTAGTGGATGAGTTTGGGAGGGTGTAAAGGTAGAAAGTTGAAAGTGAACATAGATAAGAGTAAGGTGATACGGGTATCAAATGATTTAGATAAAGAAAAATTGGATATCACATTGGAGAGAGGGAGTATGCAAGAAGTGAATGTTTTCAGATATCTGGGAGTTGACATGTCAGCAGATGGGTTTATGAAGGGTGAGGTTAACCATAGAATTGACGAAGGAAAAAAGGTGAGTGGTGCACTGAGGTATCTGCGGAGACAAAAAACATTATCTATGGAGGCAAAGAAGGGAATGTATGAAAGTATAGTGGTACCAGCACTCTTATATGGGTATGAAGCTTGGGTTTTAAATGCTGCAGTGAGGAGGCGGTTAGAGGCAGTGGAGATGTCCTGTCTAAGGGCAATGTGTGGTGTAAATGTTATGCAGAGAATTTGGAGTGTGGAAATTAGAAGGTATGGAGTTAATAAAAGTGAGCGCTGAAGAGTTATTGAGGTGGTTTGGTCATTTAGAGAGAATGGATTGAAGCAGAATGACATGGAAAGCATATAAATCTATAGGGATTGGTTGGAGGGAAGGGGGTAAAGTAGGTTTTGTGGGCGAGGGGCTTGGACTTCCAGCAAGCGTGCATGAACGTGTTAGATAGGAGTGAATGGAGACGAATGGTTTTTGGGACCTGACGGGCTGTTGGGGTGTGAGCAGGGTAATATTTTGTGAAGGGATTCAGGGAAACCGGTTATTTTTATACAGACGGATTTGAGTACTGGAAACGGGATGTACAATGCTTGCACTCTAAAGGAGGGGTTTGAGATATTGGCAGTTTGGATGGATATATCTGAGAGATTTTGATCTTTGTATATGCTTGTAAACTGATGTATCTGGGTGCCTCTGCATAATCAGTGATTATGTATGAGTGAGGTGAAAGTGTTGAATGATGAAAGTATTTTCTTTTCGGGGATTTTCTTTCTTTTTGGGTCACTCTACCTCGGTGGGCGACGGTAGACTTGTTCAAAAAAAAAACTTCCATTCTATCAAATACCAACCATAGGTTCAAAGCCGCAGATGTACGGGATAGACCCTGAAATGGTTTATGGTAATACAACATGAAATAGGTCAATGACTTACTTCCAAGATATTCCAGGAAACGAATGGATAGCTGATTACTTGGGAATTTTTTTTTTTTTTGAGAAAATTGCACATTTTTCAGTCTTTGCATAGACTAAGTGTGATCTTATATAGTTACCCTTCAGGCACATAGCGCATAACGTTTTCTGTAATAGTTGCAATCACTTTTTTTCTTATCCCTCCCCACCCTCCACCCTTCAATACCTCTCTATAAAATGTCAGTTTTTATTAATTTGGGTGTCTTTATCATGCTTCTACGTTATTTATGTTCTACAGTAGACTGTTATTTAACATGGTAGTTACGTTCCTGAAAACACTGTGTTAGGTAAAAACCATGTTAGATGAACTGAAGAACTTATGGGGAAAATAGGGTTACGTTCCAGAGAGCCCCAAAAAAGCCAAACAACTTTTTTTTAGGCCTCCACATCTTACAAAAATAAAAGTGAATATGTAATTGCAGTTCATTATGTATTATGTTGTTTTTACTGCTTAAGATTACAAATGTAATAGAAATAATAGTATTTCTTACCTTAAATTGTGGGTGCTGGTGTTTGTGGATGATT